ACAAAATTTAAGCAAAGAGGACTCTTTATACTTTTTTAATTCTCTCTAGCTTTCAATGGACTTTGCCATCATCATCAGGAGCTGCAATTACAATGATAACAGTAGCAACAATAGTGTAAAATGAATTTAAATTGACTCAACTTACAGCAGTATGTGAGGATGTTGCTAATTGTTGTTTACGTATAGGATGAGGGAAACGTCCAGTAACATGGTGAGAGCTGGATAGATGGTACAATGGTCAAAATTACATAAAATATGACAAGAACAAGTTAAAAACAGATTAAAAATTATTTAAAAACATTAAAGCATTACATCGTGAAGCCACTTGATTATTGCACAAAATGGTGGTCATGGAATAATGAGTGAGATGAACCCTTTGACAGAAGGCCGAAGGTTGTGAATGTCTGTGTTGAAAGATGGAACGAATTGTGGGCGTGTGCCAACGTTGCCAAATCACTTCAGATGATGTGATTTTCAGAATGTTATGTAAGAAATTGTTAAACCGACCAGAGGCAGTTGAATAAACTATATTTTAATTAATGGGTAAATTAAATTAACAAATATTATTTAATCGTGAGAAGAGAATTATTAGATTTTGAGTGGAATGAAATTTACTGGTGGAATCGGCCAAGATACAGATTCTATTTATGGTTGTGAAGAGTCAAAATTTGGGGAGATATGTAAGTTCTCCAATTTTTCGCAGTTTAGCAAATATGAGTAAATGACACTCAGTTGTTTAACATCTGTCTTTTTGTTGATACAGTGGTTATTCATGAAAATGTGGGACATTTCCAGGAATAAACGTTTTGAAAGGTGTTTTTCTTTATCAAGAACTTTGATACTTGTGTAATTCATGGAATGCCCTGTTGTGTTAACATGAGATGCTAGAGCGCATCTTTCAGGATGAAGCCTAGAATCACTTTTATGTGATGTAATCCTTCCTTTAAGAGATCTGGAGGTCTGACCTATGTATATTTGGTTGCAGTTGTTGCAATTGATGGAGTAGACTGTGTTGGTTAAGCTAAGCAGCGGGACTTTGTCTTTCATTTTTGAAAAAATGCAGTTTATAGTGAGGACGGATTTGCAAGCAATTCGAAAATTCAAAGGACTGCACAATCTGATCAGTTTAGGGGTCAGTTCCTTGATATAGGGCAGGACAGCAAAACCAGGTCTGGGGTCCGGGTTGGTGCTTGTACTGTTTGGATGGATGCTATTATTGGGAATTACATCACTTCCGTTATTGGGGGTTGTGCGACTATTACCTGCATCATCAGAGTTCGGCAAAATATTGGAAGGTGAACTAAATAAGATCTTGTTAATCAGACACTTCGGATAACCATTATTGATGAACAGTTTTGATAGTTTACGTAAATTTGAGGTGTGGAAAGTATTATCTGAGATGCTGATTACCCTTGTTTTCATCTGTTTTACCAAATTGATTTTAATCCCTAGCTTATGGTATGACCTAAAATTGAGAAACCGACCTGAGGCCATAGGTTTCTGGTAACAGTCTACCAATAAACTGTTGTTGTTGGTGCGGATGAGTCTTGTGTCTAGAAAGGGGACAGACAGGTTCTCATCTTCTTTTTCAATGGTAAATTGGATGTAGGAGTCATAGCTGTTGAATTCTCTGACAATACCATCCAGACCTATGGAGGGGAGGCATAAAATAATGTCATCTACGTATTTTTTTATGAAGAAGAGGTTATAGGGTAGTGTCGGAATAACAGTATCAAGCAGATCATCCATGACATATTCTGCCAAAATTGGTGATAGAACAGATCCCATAGGACAACCATGTGTTTGAGAATATATTTTGTTGTTGAAAGAGAAATAATTGTTATGAAAAAGGAATGTTATAATGTTGCTGAAAGATTCTAGAGATATCTTGCAGTGTTGACTTATCTCATTCCAGTGTTTATTAATAGTTCTTGTACATGCATCCAGATAGATATTGCTGAATAGCGACACTATATCAAGACTGGCGATAATGTGATCGGCTGGTATTGTCAATCTATTGAACTGACGAGAGACCTCAAATGAGTCTTTGATGTAGTAATCATTGTCTGCATGTGCTGATTTTAGTGTTGTCGATATTAATGAAGACAAAGCCTGGGTGGCTGAACCTATTGATGCAACTGTAGGTCTTACTGAGAATACAGGTTTGTGAATTTTCGGAAGTGCATAGAATTTGGGAGGGATATATATATATATAATGGGTGATTTTTTTCTAGTATCTTTTTGGCAACACTGTTTTTGACAGATGACGCGTGAATCGTGTCTTGTATCATTGTCAAACTTGTTCAGTTTGGTCTATAATTTAACCATGAATCGACTTACGAACGAACAACGCTTGCAAATTATAGAATTTTACTATCAAAATTCATGCTCGGTTAAGAGAGTGCATCGAGCACTGCTTCCAATTTATGGGCAATTTGGTCGGCCTACTGAGGGAGCTATTCGGAAGCTTGTGACTAAATTTCGAACCCAGTTTACATAGTCGTGCCATAAGTTCTGTCCCATGATAATCTCATGATAAAAATGAAACAAGATACGATATATTTATATGAAAGATATTATTTATTCGACAACATTTTTAGAATTCATAATCAAACAGTTTTATTCAAAATGTCCCCCCTTGGCCTTCACACACTGCTTCAATCTCGCGGGCCACTCATCTATCACTGCACGCACAGCTTCCAAAGGAATAGCTGCCGCTGATCGGATCAAATCCGCTTTCAGGGACTCGATATTACGGTGGGCTTTGGAGCAGGCCAACTGCTCTAGCAGGTCCCACAACTTGTAGTCTAAAGGATTGAGGTCCGGACTCCCTGAGGGCCAATCTTCCGCAGCAATGAACTCTGGCACATTGCTTTCCAGCCAGCGCTGCGTACTCTTAGCCTTGTGAGCGGGGGCGGAATCCTGCTGGTAGACCCAGTGTTGGTTGGCAAACAATGTACCACTTAAAGGCTTGACGATAGGATCCAGTATGTCGCTCTGATAGTTTGCCGCTTTTGTTTTCACGCCCTGTTTACAGAAATGGAGCTGAGTGACCCCTTCATAGGACACCCCCCACCAAACCATGACTGACGCAGGGTGGTGGCCTCTCTCAACTCTCGGAATGATCTCCGAAGCTTCCTGTGAACTCCTTGCATACACTTTGTCATTTTGTCGGTTGAATTTTTCTTCTATGGTGAAGATTTTCTCATCCGTGAACAAAATCTTTCGGAATCCCCCAGCTGCGTACCTCTCCAAGAGCTTCTTGGATCTTGTCGCCCTGATGTGTCGCAAGGTGGCCGTAAGTCGCTGGCCCGTACGTCTCCGGTAAGCCCCTAGCCCTAGGTCTTGTTTAATGATGCGCGACATCGTCCGGACAGGAATCTTCATTTCCCTGGATAGGATCTTCTGCTTCCGGAGTGGATTCCTTTGAATCCTGGCTTTTACGGCTTTGATGGCTGCTGGAGTCCTTACTTGACGAGGTCTTCCGCTTCTTGGCCTGTCATCAACAGAGGACGTCTCATTGTACCGCTGAATGGTCCTAGACACAAATTTACGCGATATTTGAAGGCCGCGTAAGAGTTCAAAAATCTGACTAGCACTGTGATTACACTTATGTAAAGCTATCACTGCAATACGGTTCTCTGCCTTGCCCCACTCCATCGTTATGCTTCGAGAGATCAATACAAACTGAGGTATATGTAAATACCCGAAAAGCGCTTAATCAACTGACACCACAATGTAAACAATCGGACAAGTATTAACAGGTCTACACTTGTTTGAAAACGAGGGACAGAACTTATGGCATGACTATGTACATTATTGGACATTAAACCACCAACACGCAGACGTAGAGTGAGGACTGAAGAAAATATTGCGGCTGTATCCGCCAGTGTTAGTGATGACCGTGAAATGTCGATTCGCCGCCGTTCGCAGCAATTGGGCCTTTGTTACTCCACTACGTGGATAATTTTGCAACAGGATTTGGGTATAAAACCTTATAAGATACAGCTGGTGCAAGAATTGTGGCCACACGACCTCCCACAACGTTTCCAATTTGGTGAATGGGCGCTGGAAAGTTGGAGGAAGATCCACATTTTTATCGAAAAATTGTGTTCAGCGACGAAGCTCATTTCTGGTTGAATGGGTACGTTAACAAGCAAAATTGCCACATCTGGAGTAAAGACCAGCCAGAAGCATTGCAAGAGCTACCAATGCATCCGGAAAAAATCACTGTTTGGTGTGGATTATGGGCCGGTGGCGTCATCTGGCCGTACTTCTTCAAATACGACAATGGCCGGAACGTAACTGTGAATGGCGAGCGCTACCGTGCGATGATAACAAACTTTTTTTTTGCCCAAAATGGAAGAGCTGGACTTGGCTGACATGTGGTTTCAACAAGACGGTGCCACATGCCACACGCACACGAAACAATGGCCCTATTGAGAGGCCAGTTCGGTGAACAGTTTGTCTAACGTGTGATTTAACGCCATTCGGACTATTTCTTGTGGGGCCATGTTAAGGCTAATGTCTACAGGGATAAACCAGCAACCATTGACGCACTGGAAGCCAATATTGAAGCATTTATTCGTGAAATACCGGCCGATATGTTGGAGAGAGTGTGCCAATATTGGACCTTGCGCATGGGCCATCTAAAGCGGAGCCGCGGCCAACAATTACATGAAATAATCTTTAAACATTAAATTATATCGACCATTCTATCGACTCAAATAAAGATTTAATCGTTTTTTCAAATTTTTTTGTGTTTTTTTTTGAAAATCAAATCCTATACCTCTTAAAAAATCACCCGTTATTTATTCGTATTTGTTTCTGCGTTTAAATAAGCGCTCATGGCGTGCAACCTCTAAATATAATACAAGCTCCTCGAAGTTCGGTATACATATCTTTTGAATTACCGAGACTCGAAAAGCGAGCAGCCCGTCGAAATTTCACATTTATTGGCCTAATAACAATGAAACGCCCTATTATACATCTACGCTTACTTGCTTGTTCGAAGCCAGGAGGTTTCAACCGTAGATCTTCATTATGATCCTCTTTCTGGTCATTCAGATGGGTTATATCTAACTTAGTGGCATCCTGTTCTGCCCACGAACATCTAGCACTAACACCGCTCAAATTTGAACCGTCTCTTGCAAAACCCGTCTCGACTTCCTTGTAAGCTATTGGCACGACATCAAAAATGCTTCTCCTTCTCATATCCGTCACGTACCAAGGACCTCGGGCTCTGAAAAAAAATGACGTCAATTAGGTTGACAGCACCTCAGGCAACAGTCGTCTTCTATCTGAAGTTGTAATGTACATTTTGGGAAAATCTATTTATGGCATGTTATACATGACATTTCTAAAATATTGGCAATTATACAGGGTGTCCGAATTCAATATTCAATAACCTTTATTTCCATACAGACAATATATAATTGTATTGGAATTGTCAATTTTTCGTTCGCTACAAAACGCATCAAAAATTGCTTCAACTGGAACTTGAGGTCGTTAATATTTTTAACCGAGGTAATGTGGCACGGTAAATTATTAAAATGAAGCGGACCAATTTTATTAGGTGATCGAAATGCCGCTTTTGATTTGCTGAAGTTTACATATAAATGATTACAAGTCCTTGTATCATAATTATGCATATCGCAATTTCGCTTGAAATTTTCATTATTTTTAAAAACATGTAAGCACAATTCATATATATATATATATATATACTAAGTGACATATAAATCCGAACACCCAGATTAAATGGTTTTATTTTAATAAAAAAAAAATTTTCAGCCTTATCAGTTGGACATTCCGGTTTTTATATTGCTTTTTTTTAATTCACTAACGCTCTAAAAATGAATATTTCAGCCGCAGTAAAGCATCAACGTTGGCGGATGTTGGTTCTTGACATCCTTTACGATCGGTTACGATGCCTAGAGTACGGAGACCTGTACGATTTCGTCAACTTAGTGAGTTTGATAGGGGCCGTATAGTGGGACTTCGGGAAGCTGGACTTTCTTTTCGGGCAATTGCTGTTAGAGTGCAAAGAAGTGTAGGCACTGTGCTTAAGTGTTGTCAGGCATGGCTTCGAGAAGGCCGTACGGAAAGAGCAAGGGGCACTGGACGCCGCCGTAGAACAACAGACCGTGAAGATCGCCGCCTAAGATTATTGGCCTTAAGGGACCGTTTCTCCACTACCAGGTCCATTGCAAATGAATGGTTTGCAGAACACGGAAGACCTATTGGCATGCGAAGTGTTTACCGACGAATGAGAAGTTTTGGCTTGTTTTCATACCGGCCACACTGGGTCCTCCCTTTAACTCGAGAACACCGACATAATCGCCTTGAGTGGTGCAGACAATGGTTACTCTGGGATCAGGAATGGAACAGTATTGTCTTTAGTGACGAGTCTCGATTTTGTTTAGGCATGCACGATGGTCGTGCCAGGGTTAGAAGGCGACGTGGTGAAAGGAGGAATCCACAGTTTTTTGTTGAAAGACATGTTCATCACACTGTTGGAGTTATGGTTTGGGGTGCTATAGCTTATGGTTCCAGGTCACCTTTAATCTTCATCAGAGGTAACATGAACGCGCAGCGTTATATCCACGAAGTTCTAGAACCCCATCTTTTACCCTATCTTGACACCCTGGCAGATCCAACTTTCCAACAAGATAATGCCCGATCACATGTTTCAAGAGTCACAATAGTCTTCTTTCAACATAATGATGTCACATTGTTACCATGGCCACCAAGATCTCCCGACTTATCCCCAATTGAGCACGTGTGGGATATGACTGGTAGAAGATTGCTCAATTTGCAACGTCCTCCTCAGACTCTAGAAAGAAGCACTTCGAGAGGAGTTGGTGGTTGCCTGGAATGAGATTCCACAGGAGGACATTGACCACCTGATCAGAAGCATGCCTAGGCGCGTTGGAGAATGCGTAGCACCTCAGGGTGCATCCACACATTATTAAAGGTCAAAGGGCTTTAAAGCAGTGCAATCATTTTGAAATTTTTATCATTTACTTATTATGCTTCATTAAGTACTTATACAAAATTTTATTAAAATAAAACCATTTAAACTGGGTGTTCGGATTTATATGTCACTTAGTATACAATTAAGGAACAGTTAAAATGTTGAAACTTATAAAATATTTTGTGCAACTTTCTGTTGATGAGATGCCTGCTAATGATCGTATGCATCTTTATTGAGACACAAATACATCTTCAGAGCGCGTTGACCAACCCCAGAAACATACTCCATATCTTAATCTCGAATCCACATTAGCAAAATAAACTTGTATCAATTGTTCAGCTGTTAAGATGGTTTTTAATAGCCTAAACACAAAGCTTTGAGAGTACATTTTTGATGTGAGAAATTCGCAGTGGGCCTTCCAATTTAAGTTCGAATCAAAATGAACTCCAAGAAATTTCACTTCTCGTCTAAAATCGAGTTGATCGTCACCCAATCTAACTTGAAACTCTTCTACAGTTTTTTGAGCATGATGAAAACGAATAAGCGTTGTTTTGGAAGGATTCAAGTAAAGTGAGTACTGGTTAAACCATGTATTGATATTCCTAATTAAGTTGTTACATTTATTTTTGACATTAAATTTGAAATCAGGTGCACTATCTGAGGTATTAATTTTTTGTATTATATCATCTGGAGCATTTTAAAAAAATCATTGAACATATTTGCCAACAGCTGAGGGCCGTGCACTTTTTCGGTTTGATCTTTATGTAGAACTATATTTTTTCGAACTTTGCTCTCATTTTTAGTTGCATTGACTACTTGCCAGCACGCTTTGGTGGTATTTTTAGACAATTTTGTTTTGGTAGAATGATCTTTTTGTGTCTCTGATCCATTTTTTATGTGCCTTTTTAGCATCATTATATAGTAGTGACTTTAGTCTTGGATTTATTTGTGAAGTATAATATAAATCTTTCAAATTATTGCTTGAATTTCTTACGTTATGTGTAACCCAACTTTTTGAGCCGTTTCCCTTACAGGCTTTATGTAAAGGAAAATGATTATTAAAATAGTACAAAAAGATATTAAAAAAATTTCCAAACGACTCAGAAACTGTAAAGCTAGAGTAAACTGACAGCCAAGATTCGTTTAATAAAGATTCTTTACAGTCGCTAATTGTGTTTTAATGAAAACTTCTTTTGTTCAGGTAAATTTTGTCCGATTTCTTGGAGCAAACATCGAAGTCCCCCAGAGTCGTTCTGTGATCTGAAACTGTATTATCATAGACACAGGAAACGAACTGAGTAATATTGGTAAAAACGTGGTCAATGCTTGTGTCCGAAGTATCTGTCACTCGGGTTGGCCAACCGCCTTTATGATACAAACCAAACAGAGGAAATATTACACAATTTCAAAAAATTAATTCACTTTGACTCATAACAATTAAAATTATAATCGCCACATACAAGGATCGAACACAGTATTTAAAATTTCCTCAATTTTTTCTAAAAATACGCCTACGTCACCATTAGGTGAACGGTAGCAATTTATTATCTTATTTTTTTTATCTGAAATGGTACAAGATATTGAACAAACTTCAATGTCCAATTCAGATTTATTCAGATCTATTGGCTTTTTTTTTATACTCCAACTACCACGAAGGCCTAAGGCCTAAGCACCCATTGGGTACCGTGGGGCTATAGGGGGATACATGGGAAAGGGGGAACGCCACACGGACTCTGGCGAGGGAACATGTGTGCATGCAACATGTACACATTCTGGCTCCGCCTACGAGATCCGCCGGGTGGTACCTCCGCGTTCGACAGTCAGAGATCGTCTACCACCTACGGACAATCACAACATCCATAGCCAAGGGAAAAATTTCTCCTGGGACGGGACTCAAACCCGCACAGCACACGGCGACTGATCAGGAGACCGAAGAGTCTACTACTGCGGCCACCGCTTAGGTCAAAAGCAACCAATTTTGTCATAGTGACATATAAATCCGAACACCCAGTTTAAATGGTTTTATTTTAATAAAATTTTGTATAAGTACTTAATGAAGCATAATAAGTAAATGATAAAAATTTCAAAATGATTGCACTGCTTTAAAGCCCTTTGACCTTTAATAATGTGTGGATGCACCCTGGTGTGCTACGCATTCTCCAACGCGCCTAGGCATGCTTCTGATCAGGTGGTCAATGTCCTCCTATGGTATCTCATTCCAGGCAACCACCAACTCCTCTCGAAGTGCTTCTAAAGTCTGAGGAGGACGTTGCAAATTGAGCAATCTCCTACCCATCATATCCCACACGTGCTCAATTGGGGATAAGTCGGGAGATCTTGGTGGCCATGGTAACAATGTGACATCATTAGGTTGAAATAAGTCTATTGTGACTCTTGCAACATGTGGTCGGGCATTATCTTGTTGGAAAGTTGGATCTGCCAGGGTGTCAAGACAGGGGAAAAGATGGGGTTCTAGAACTTCGTGGATATAACGCTGCGCGTTCATGTTACCTCTGATGAAGATTAAAGGTGTCCTGGAACCATACGCTATAGCACCCCAAACCATAACTCCATCAGTGTGATGAACATGTCTTTCAACAAAAAACTGTGGATTCCTCCTTTCACCACGTCGCCTTCTAACCCTGGCACGACCATCGTGCATGCCTAGACAAAATCGAGACTCGTCACTAAAAACAATACTGTTCCATTCCTGATCCCAGAGTGACCGTTGTCTGCACCACTCAAGGCGATTACGTCGGTGTTCTCGAGTTAAAGGGAGGACCCAGTGTGGCCGGTATGAAAACAAGCCAAAACTTCTCATTCGTCGGTAAACACTTCGCATGCCAATAGGTCTTCCGTGTTCTGCAAACCATTCATTTGCAATGGACCTGGTAGTGGAGAAACGGTCCCTTAAGGCCAATAATCTTAGGCGGCGATCTTCACGGTCTGTTGTTCTACGGCGGCGTCCAGTGCCCCTTGCTCTTTGCGTACGGCCTTCTCGAAGCCATGCCTGACAACACCTAACCACAGTGTCTACACTTCTTTGCACTCTAACTGCAATTGACCGAAAAGAAAGTCCAGCTTCCCGAAGTCCCACTATACGGCCCCTATCAAACTCACCAAGTTAACGAAATCGTACAGGTCTCCGTACTCTAGGCATCGTAACCGATCGTAAAGGATGTCAAGAACCAAAATCCGCCAACGTTGATTCTTTACTGCGGCTGAAATATTCATTTTTAGAGCGTTAGTGAATTAAAAAAAAGCAG